GTTTGGTTTGGTTTGAGATAGGGTTTCTTTATGTAAATAGCCCTGATTGTCCTAGAACTCGCTCTGAAGACTAGGCTAGCCTCAAAACTTAGAGATCCACCTGCCTCTGCCTCTGGAATTAAAGGCATGCACCACCTCCTCCAGAATGCCAAGGACTTTTTAAAGCCACCTTTTGGGGCTAGAAAGTGAACTCAACACAATTAAGAGCACTTGCTGCTCTTCCAGCAGATCTGAGTTAGGTACCCAGCACCCACACAGAATAGCTCCTAATTGCCTGCAACTCCAGCTCCAGAGGATCTTAGCCCTCTTCTGACCTCTGGGCAACATACACTTGTGCACACACACACATAAATATAAATAAAAAGAATGACTTTCTGTAGGCTGGAGAGATGGCTTACTATAGATCCCAAGCTGGGCTGGAGCTAACTTTGTGACACAGAAAAGCCTGAACATTTCCTGTTTTTGTTTGTTTGTTTTGTTTTTCTTCTAATGTTTTATTTTATTTTATTTTCTGTGTATGTTTGCCTGTGTGTATGTATATGAACCGTGTGTGTGTGTTTGTGTGTCTGTGTGGGTGTGTATGTGTGTAGCAGATCCCTTCAATTGGAGTTAGATACTGTGAATCCCCATGTAGATTCTGGGAACAGTACCTAGGTCCCTCTGGAAAGAACCAGCATGTGTTTTTAGCCACAGAGCCTTCTACCTCAGACCCCTAAGAAGCAGGGATTACAATCATCTGCCACTGTGCCAGCTTGTACCCATTTTTTGGGGGGAGGCGGGGTGTTGGAGACAGGGTTTCTCTGTGTAACAGAGCACTGGCTGTCCTAGACTCGCTTTGAAGACCTGGCCTCTAACTCATAGAGATTCACTTGCCTCTGCCTCCAAGAGTTCCGGAACAGACAAGGCTACACACAGAGAAACCCTGCCTCGAAAAACAAGCAACAACAACAACACACACACAAAACAGGTAAACACTTCTTTAATTTTTCTCCTTAATTCCGTGAACATACACACACACACACACACACACACACACACACACACACACACACAGCCGTACATGCAGCTCAGTGATCAAGAGTTCTCTGTTATTTTCTGATGTCCTAGACTCCATCCTCAGCCCAAAGAGCGGAGAGGAAGAGTATATAAAGGAGGGAGAGAAGCACTGAGACAGAGAAAGGATTATGTCAATGGTATGAGTTTTGTTGTTGTTGTTGTTGTTGTTTTGTTTTGTTTTGTTTTTTATTAATTACACTTTATTCACTTTGTATCCCCCCCATAAGCCCCCTCCTCCTCCCCTCCTGTTCCCACCCTCCCTCCCCCTTCTTCACGCATGCCCCTCCCCAAGTCCACTGATAAGGGAGGTCTTCCTCTCCTTCCTTCTGATCTTAGTCTATCAGTTCTCATCAGGAGTGGCTGCATTGTCATCCTCTGTGGCCTGCTAAGGCTGCTCCCCCCTCAGGGGGAGGTGATCAAAGAGCAGGCCAATCTGATTATGTCAGAGGCAGTCCCTCTTCCCATTACTATGTATGGTTTTTATTGTCAGCGGTAAAGATTTTCAGAGTCAGGCATGATGGCACATAGTTGTAATTTCAGCGCTTGGAAGGCTGATGCAGGAGAATTGCCTAGTGTACAATCAAGGCTGGCATGAGATACACACTCTCAGCTAGGGCTATATAGCAAAACCTCGCGTCAACATTCTCCACACAATCCCAAGAAAGAGTAAACATTTTCTATAATTAAACAAAACATTGTACAAATGAATAAACAGATAATATTGTCACATGTGTATATTTTTCTCTTTTTTTTTTCTCTTTCCTTTCTTTTTGTTTCAAAACAGTATCTTATTCTGTAGCTCAGGATGACCTTGGATTCAGTGGATAGGCCAGGCTTCCCCTGAACACTTCTCCTGCCTCAGCCTCTGAGGTTTCCGGATTACAACTATAAACCACTGTAACCTGCTGCATTTTGTTGTTAGTTTTTGTGGCGCTGCAGATTAAAGCTAAAACCTCACAAGTGCTAGACAAGTGCTCTACCAGTGAGATGTAATCCCTATGCTTTTTGTTTTTTTGGTTTTATTGTTGTTGGTTTTGTTTTGTTTTTTGTTTGTTTGTTTACTCTTTATACTGTAACTCACTCAGACCATATGTATGGAGAGCCTCATTTGGAGACAATTTTTATTTTTATTAATTTTATCACTGCTATGGTCAAATCTAGGCCCTAGCATATTTAAGGCAAATACTTTGCCACTGACCTATTTCCCACTTCTTAGAAAACTATTTTATTTGTTTATTTAATTATTTATGTGTTTATTTATTATTTCATGAGACAACAATTTTAAATTATAAGACAAAACAAAACAAAAAAAAAACAACTACAACAACAAACCCCACAAGATCATGCCAGGCCTGAATAAAAGGCACAGCCTTTTAATCCTAGCACTCAAGAGGCAGACGCAGGTGGATCTCTGAGTTCAAGGCCATCTCCAGAGTGAGTTTCAGGGCAGCCAGGCTACAGAGAGAAACCCTGTCTTGAAAGCACATCAACAAGGGGCTGGAGATAAGGCTCAGAGGTTAAGAGAACTGGCTGCTCTCCCAGAGGTCCTGAGTTCAATTCCCAGCAACCACATGGTAGCTCACAACCATCTATAATGAGATCTGGTGCCCTCTTCTCATGTGAAGGCATACATGCAGATATTGTATACATAATAAATAAATAAATTTTAAAAAAGAAAGTACAACAACAAACAAAAAACCTACAAGGTCACAATGTTACTAGAGAAAACATGTAAAGAGGGTGAGAAGCTGAAGAAAAGGCTCACCACTAGGCTGTGAAACCTACCAACTTGAGTTCCACCCCAGAAACCCACAGAAAGGTAGAAGCGGGAAGCAGACTCCATAAAGCCATCCTCTGACCTTCATATATATACTGTGGTATAGATATCCACCCCACCCCTCCACACACACACCACAAGTATATTAAATTTTTTTTTTTAAAGAAGGCCTAACTAGGTATGGTAGCTCATGATTTTAATTGCAGCACTTGTCAGGCAAAGACAAGCAGAAGCCTTTAAGTTTGAGGCCACCTTGTTCCTCAAAGTAAGTTTCAGGACAGCCAGGGCTACATAGTGAGACCCAAAAGAAAGGAAGAAGTGAAGGAGGGAGGGAGGAAGAGAGAAGGAAGAAATAAAGGAAGGAAAGAAGGAAGGGAGGAAGGAAGGAAGGAAGGAAGGAAGGAAGGAAGGAAGGAAGGAAGGAAGGAAGGAAGGAAGGA